AAGCATTGGGCAGTAAAAACATGGAGTAAAAAGAAAGAATTAAGAGATCTCTCCACAATTATTGATCCAGATTGGAACGCTTTATGTTTTCGCAACAATTTGCTACAAGACATACATATATATTATCAGCAAGAATTGAAAAGCATTTATATGTGCCAAGACGTGAGCATTGAAAAATACTACATACGCTTCATGCGAGATATATCCTTGTTATGACAATGTTTACGGACGCACTTCACAAATGTGTTTTGCAGTGCTTTTCTTTCATGGTGTTGCATTGCTGGTGAAAATACGATCTTTCGATGGCATCGACTGGTTTTGGTACATCGTCGAATCACTCTGGACCTTCTCAAATCTTCAGGGGGCTCCTCTTCCTGCGCTACCTTTGCCCACCGATTATTCGGGCAAAACTTTCTGTACTTATATATACGCGGTGAAGTGGAATATAGATTGAGCGAACGAAAGCTTTCATAAGGCGTGATATAAGATCGTTATGAACACGATTTAGCTCGCACAAAGTACGAGAAGAGCCAAACCAATCAATTTGTCATAATCATGATTAATTATTATTAATTATTATTATTATCGATTACTTACCGTTGATAAGATCTTTCGTGAGAAGTAAAAAACGGGACATTTTTGTTTTTGAACAAAAATATAGCTCAAACGTATCTGTACCCAGTTGCCATGTATTTTAATTTATTTAGATTCTTAAATAAATTTTATTGAAAAAAAGAAACCAACGCAAGCACATCGAGTGCCCGTGTTTATTTCGCCTCTTTTCTGTTCTACTTTCTTTTTCCTTTCATCTACTAAGTATATCTTCTCTCGAATAACATATATCTATAGCTATATTTTTCTTCAAAGGCAGTATTTCAAAGAAATTACGGAAGATCACATAAATGTTATATATTCTTGCTCAGACTCTATAACAGGCTTTTCCTTTACCACTTTTAAAATCTAAACTCATATCGAAATATGTCAAACATATCATATGTATATTTATTGCAGGAATCTGCAACATATTTTCTCTCTTTCGCTCAATTTTTAACTTGACTCAGTTTACATATTTTTGTAACAATATTCTTTTAAATTACATAATTTTCTCATTACACAAAATTATACAATATTTAGTATTATATTTAAATTATAAAACTATTTTAAGTGAAATGGTATAAATTAGAAGGTTTTTGACAAACTGTATATCAAATTTTCTTTTTTCATTTATAATTAGCTACAAAATGTTCATATTATTTGAACTGAACATCTGCTTCAGTTGTATGATGTATGATATTGAAAAATATTTTAAAGACACAGATGAACATGTACGCATGATATAAATGTAAAATAAAGATCTCTCTATGATTGCGAATCAGAATGCGATCATACAGTACTAAGTACTGTTAATACTCTGTAATATTTGATACAATACTAACATTATAAATATTTTAAAATATTTTATTTTCCAAACCAGTTAATGATACGTGAAGAATTGAAAAGATCATCCCAACGCTGATTTTTATAAACTGTAAACTTACGTATTTTCACTAGATCGTAGACCTATCATAAAATCACTTTCGTTCTCGATCAGGATCTGTAGGCAAGCTGATCGGCAAGAACTCGCACAACCTCGCTCCACATTTAATTAATAATCATTAATCATGCTCCGTCGCTTCGGCGACGCTCTTTATAAAATTATATTTAACATAAAAAGAGAGAAGAGGGCGAAAAAGAGGAAGAGAGAACGTAACGATAAATGTACATTGCGATAAATTGCAGAAAGAGCCGCTCACAGATACTAATAAAATACACGATCACACATCTGTATTCGCGAAGGTAATCATGTAAAATAATAACGACAATAAATAGCTCGTAAGCCAGTCTAAGCTAGACACGTGTCGATAGTCGTAGATAGTCAAAATGAAGCTGAAGAGCGAAGAGGTCTACACAGGGGGTTGAAGTCGAATGTCGGCCATAGTGGCCCCTTCACACAGACCTTTGTACATGAAACGAAATAATTATGCTCTTATAATAATGATGTTATATTTTCAAGTACGTGCATATCAAGAATACCGGGCACCGCACTTTGGTATTGGTTGTAAACTGATTTCAATTTATTGATTACTGTTAAGCGTAAATATCAATGAGAACATAAGGAACTATTTGTTGCGGTCTAATTGTGTGTAAGGGTTCAGTTTTATTGGTACAACTGCGAATCGATAATTATCATATCATATAAGGGTGTAACTATATTAGATATATAATATTGTATAATATGTAATAAAAAAAGATTAATGCGTAAGTGGGTTGTAGGCAGTTTGTGTGAATGGGCCTAGAGGATGTTAAAACCGATCTCTTCGACCCTACATGCGATTAAGAAGAATGATGCGATTATTAATATTAATGAAGTACGAGATGAATATAAATATCTAAACTGAATAAAAAAGAGAGAGAAAGAAATAAACGGAAGAGTGCAAGAGAGGGAGAGAAAGAATATGAGAGAGTGAACAAGTGTATCGATTGAGAAAGAAAAAAATATGTAATTATATCATTAGTAATATTATTATCACTAATATAATAAATGTGCCATTTTTTCCATAATCACCGTGTCGCTTGACGTGGATTCTGCAGCGATCCGTCAAACGTTTCTTTCTTTTTCTCTAATATAATTTTAATATGCGCGCTATTTTTGCCATTATTTGCTTTTTTCTTTCTCATTCGTTATTTTATTTGTATATTATACTCTCAGTATTTTAGATAATATTTACATTACGTTTTACGTTTTGCTCCTATGATACGCATACTGATTTAAGTTTCAATTGTATTTCATTATATACAGAATAACGATTAGCTATATGTATGCACAGTATGTAGATACATTTAGACATTAACAAGTACAGCACGCCATGATGCTGTACTTGCTCATTCTTAATTGATACGCCGCAAAACTTTGCAAATTATTGCAGTACATGCAAGCATTTGTAATCCACATTTTGAAGTTTATATTTCTCGTACCTCATGTTACATACAAGACAAGATCATCGCATTACATTTTTGATAAGCCATCGATTATCTCTTCTCGAAGAGAAATACAGCGGAAATAAACTTATTAATTTAATCTCTGCGAGATCGAATTCAACAATAATATTATTTCTCCCAATCATTACTGAGAAATTCATTACTAACGGTAATTTCATTCGATAGTGAAAGGCTATTAATTTCGTTATTTCTCAACTTTTATTGCAGATGTGTATGGTATAGCTTATATAATGTTATTACGAAATTATGTTTACACGACCGCGATATTAACGGTCCATCGCCGTTCTCATCCTAATACGAAACACGCGGTTAACCTCGGTTAAGAAATCCTGCAAATTCCTTTTCTCAGTGGTTTTTGACCTATACCCGTGTCTTTACATTACCTAACTGGCAAAATATTTTATTGCTATTAGAATCGTTCATTTTGTATAGATATATAAATATATGTCGCGCACAATTTCATTCAATCGAGCAAGTTTAAAAGAAACTATTATCGTGTGTAAAACTGAATAATTTATTCAAAAAATAGATTTAATATTAAATTCCTAATAAATTCCTATTATTAATAGTTTGTTTTGTCGACATTATTTAATCATTTTAAAAAAGTCGTATATTTATAACAAATATTGTGATAAATATTTTATTTAAATATGAGATTTCTTCGTCGAGAGAGACGAAAATAGAAAATTTTATTATTACATGATTTTTATTAATAATTTATTTAATAGTAAATTTATTGTTAATTTCATTAACCTTTTCAAAATAACTATGCTTAATTTATATGTGCATATGTGCTTATGTGAAACTCTGCAGTAACAACTTACAATATACAATATCACACATATAAATCTATCTGCTTACTATTCAGGTATCAGTATCAGATATTCCAATCAATTAATTAAAAGGGTATTTACGAGTGCAGTTCACGGAAACCCAGCTCTCTCGTATAATAATATCTGATATACAGTTATGCACAGAAGTATCGAAGGATATTTATAAACTGAATAAAGTCTAACAAAGGAAACGCCAGGTGATAAGGTCAGGGATTTTTATGCGCTTTTTACAGGCTGTTCTTGAGCGAAAAAAAAAACAACATGTCCGGCCGTTTCAACCATTGGCCCATAGTTTCGAAGAAATCGATTTTTTAAATAAACTCCACATAAATGAGTATTTAATTATTATCTATAATACTAATATGTAATTTCATGAAATTTCATTACAATCGAAAAATAATTAAAACTAATAACATTAAATTAAAATGAAATTTATAAAGATACTGATATTATTTTCATTTATACAGCACGTTTTTTAAATTACTATAATAATTATTTAAAAAATCGATTTCTTCGAAACTATAGGCCAATGGTTGAAACGGTCCGCATCGTTTTTTTTTCGCTTAAGAACAGCCTGTAATAAGCGCATCAAGATCCCCGACCTCGTCACCTGGTGTTCCCTTTGTAAGTCATTTTTATGAGCTACTATTATACGCGCAGCAATTGTAATTCTATACTATAATAATTATAATATAGAATTCTATATTATAATATATTATAATAATTTGATTTGCAAACCAAATTCATTACAGAAAAATTATTATTAACATAAAGCTTGAAGAAAATGTTTTTCATTCGGCAAAACACCGAGGCACAATTGTATTTTCTTATCTCTTCTATAACTACGCGAAATAACCATGATAATATATTCATTATCGTCCTAGCACGTACCATCGAGCACGAGCGTGAAAGTATCATCGCGCACTTGGCGTCCACAATGTCACAGTTCACTTTCTATAACCGTGCTGCATCCTCCATACTCTGTATTTTATCTCGCTGGTTTGCATCTAATCAAGTTGCAAAAATCGACTCGATATAAGCGTTACTTTTACTTCCTACTGCACGTAAGTTGTGTAAGCATTTATTTTGTTGCAACTGACGTCTCGACTCTATTTAGAAACTATCACTGTCTTCTATCTTTAAGACTCAGTGAAAAGATTTCACTAGAAGAAATAAACATATTATATTTAGAAATTATTACTTTAAATCTTGGCGAAAAGATTTTATTACGAAGCTATAGATATGTTCTCACAGCCACACTGACATTACACAATTTTTTCTTCACATTTTTTGCGAATACATCCTTGAGGATCTGGATCATCGATCTCACGACAATGTGTTTTTCCATCTTCGATACGAAAATAGCATGAAAACAAAAAATCTATGCTTGGTTTATATATAGCTATAATACTCGCTTCACCGAGCAATATACAGAATTTTTAGATTCATATTTTCGAAAGCTTTCTTTTTAATGTCACATAAGCCACAGTCCGAATGACCACGAACCAGGCGAACAGGACAATGACGTCGATCCAGAATATAGATTTGGTCATACTCAGCTCTTCTAGAATCAGCGACGGCATTCGTAAATGACAGTAGTCGATGTTACTTGGACAAGGTACTGCCTCTCGTTGAAAACCATAAATCGCTTGTATCAAGCCATCGAGAGCGAATCTATAGTAGTTTATATAACTAACGTAGTAAAGGATACGTGGCATGTGATTGAAAAATACCAGAAAGCCGCCTAAAGACAACATCATCGCTATAATAATGGCTCCGAAGAAGGTGCCATTGATAGGATTGAAAATAGTTCCTAAACCTAAGCCTACGCTTTCCGAAGTGACAGACGTCAGGGCCGTGATGAGTAGAAACATGAAGAATCGAAACCATTCCATAGGTTGTTTGGTTAGCACATAAGAAATGATTGAATAAACAAAAGTAGATGATATAGTCAACGGTAGAGTGATCACCAACATGGCTATATAGTAAGTCCTCAGCTGATACCAGTTGTTGAAGCGTTCCTTCTTCAAAATATCCAACTCCAAAGGGAATTTCAAAACGGCCGGCATTAAACTGGTGTAGATGAAGTATAATATAGTTATCATCAAGAAACCAACATTGCTGATGGTTCTGCTGGCATCAATGCCAACATGCTCGAACAACAAGCCCAATAAGATAGCTACGAGAACATTCATGATTATCTTGATGTAGTACACCGACCAATCTCGATATATTATCAGGGCGGAACGATATAACAATACCCTGAATTTTGTCATTTCGGAAGGCGAGTCCATTATTATTTTCTCGTCGTAGAATGTCGCTTCTCTCTTGATGTGCATCTTCAAAGGTGTCTTCTCTCTCTGGCAATATTTCTTCGCCGCTGCGATCAATTGATTGTTATAATTCCCATATTCTTGATTGATTACCTCCAACATGTAATCCGCAGAATTATGATACTGTGGACACTGAAAACCTTGCTGGGCAAAATAACTCACTGTATTATCAGGCGTGCCGGCGTACAAACAGTGGCCGTCGACCACCAGATAAATATAATCGAACATTTGATACACCGCGGCGCTGGGTTGATGTATGGTACAAATCACCGTTCGACCACTTTTTGCCAGAGTCTGCAACGCGGAAATGCATTGCAGAGACGCTAACGAGTCTAGACCGGTAGTCGGTTCGTCTAAAAACATTATCGGTGGATTATCAATCAATTCCAGGGCGATGCTCAATCTCTTCTTCTGTCCTCCACTGAGCCGGTCGACTCTTGTATCCTTCGTTTTCGATAAATTCAGCGTGTCCAGAATGTTGTCGATCAGTACCTGCCTAAACATTACTGTCGCGCTGCTACCGATCTTCAGGTAGGCCACAATCATCATGCTCTCCTGAACAGTAAACAAACCGTACAGATTGTCCGTCTGTTGAATATAGCACGATTGTTTCTTGTACACTCCCCAATTCTGTCTACCCTCACTACTAACGTATTCAACTGTCCCAGTCAAGTGTCCTTGTTGAAATCCCGTCAAAATATTCAGCAATGTAGATTTTCCGGCACCAGACGGTCCCATAATAGCTGTCAGCTCCGCGGCTTTGAAGACTCCACTTAGATTCTTCAAGATTTGTTTCTTAATCTTACGATATCCAGTTTGAACCTCAAATGACAGATTCTTGAATTCAATGTCGACCATCCGGGTCCGCAACACACGCATTGTGTCCGTTGTACGTTTCCTTGTTGACATGACTAGATATAATTGACCTATTGAGAAATATCTTTCGCACTGCTTATCCGTTGTACTTTTTTTCTGTCTATCTCTTTAACGTTTATCGGTTTATTGGGGACGAAAAGTTTGTCTGACAGTTGCGTAAGTGGGGTGAACTATGTATATTTAATGTACATTGCGTGAGCGAAGATTCATCCCCGGCTATAATACTTATTGTTGTAGTTGCATGTGAGAAGAGATATTAGACGCAGCTAACACAAATCTTGTTCTAAAAAACTCAGTTGATAACTTCCTTGGCTAATCAACGAATATATTAGTATGCACACGAAAGTACAATTTGTGCATAATCTTCTCTAAATTTTTACGTCTTTTATAAGCGTAAAGTATTTTGCGGTTTATAACAAATCGTGATAATGTATTCTTATGGAGTTAATAATCAATAAATATGCACGTGAAAATATAATTTGTGCATAATCTTTCTTCAAATTTTTACGTTTATTATAAACAATGTAAGATATTTCACCGTTTATAACAATTCGAATTGTGTATAATGTATTTTCATGTCGTAATGTGATTATATTGTGTTACTTCCTGTGTGCGTCGTATTTTTTGTTGTCTATACTTAGATTACGTACGATTTACGTCATCCATTCCCGGAGGAACTTATTTAAAACAAAGACTTATTCGTACATAATACGTAATACTTCTTCAACAATTGTCATCATTACTAGCAATCATTGCACTGTGCAAATCAAATCTTTTCTTGTTCCAATTTCCTCTTAGGAGATTCACTCCGTCTCTGTTCACCTGCAACATAATGTTATGGTATTAGCTTTCGATTTACATTACAAAGGATTACAGTTTTCGCAATGCGATATTTAGATGATGCAGCAAGAAGTAACTGGTTAAGCGTGTCGTTATGCAACTATTAATTTTTAATAAAAACAGATAACTAGCACACACACATAAATTATTGCACGACTAGCAATTGCGCAAACGTTGATTATTATGTAAACAGTCATCACTTGTTTTTAAATTAAAGAATATTTAGATAGAAATTAACATTTATATGAAATTGAATCGTATGAGAAAATCTGCAATTGTCGATTAATTTATCTCCTTCTAATGTTAGATTTTCCTAAAAATTAAATTTTGTTTCATTAAATAGATAATCCATTACCGTTATTATAAAAAATAGTTGATTTGTCTGCGCTTTTCAAGTGTAATCAGTTTCCAATTGCGTCATAAAAACATGTTATAATAGGGAATTGCACGACGTATGCTCAGATCGAACGAGTAGCAATTAATTTGCTACATTAAACAGATTTAATCGCGTTTGAGTAGAACAAATAGTCATCTATGTTGCAATTTAAATAAGAAATTATTTTATAGATAAATTTACATATATTTATTTTTCTATGTCCAATTTATATTTATTGTATTTGTATATATTCATTATCTTATCAAAGCTTACAAAAAAAACAAGATGATAATTTGAGAAATAGGTCAGCACACTCATCGAAAATATTTGCAGGTGATTTATAGTGTTGCAAATTAATTTTTTTTTTACTCGTATAACTTCTAGCGTATATTGCCACTAGTCTATTTAGACTAACAATAAGTAACTTGCATTGAAAAGGCTCTTAGTAGTTGAGTGCCACATGTGTTACAGGCATTACTATGTACTATTGAATCACACGTAAATACTAACAGGTTATATTATTATATAAAAAACCTTCCAACAATTAATGAATTATTTATTAATGTTCTTTGAAAGTGTAAAAGAATAGAATTTCTGATATTATGAATACAAACACATTTCTATACGAATAAATTGGCATAAATCCTTGACGTTACGTCATCATGACAAATAATGAGAAGAATGACTAAGAAAACCCTAAAGTACTACAATTCTCGTGCTGATAATTTCATTAGTTTGTATTTTTCCATTGTCCACTTTGTGTGCTACGATGCATATTACATTAGTTGTTATTTTTTTCTACATTATTATCGTTTGCATATTAACGTAATATAAATGACGTAATTATGAGAATTCTTCATTCTACTTTACGAATCTTAACGCTCCATCGCTCTCAACATTACATGTAATTTTTTTAAAAATATTTAATTGTCATGCGACAAGGTGATATCAATTATCTTCTTTCTTGCATATCTTGCATGTCACATATATCTTTTTTTACTTTTGTACAGCTTTCAAATTAAAAGTTTCCACATATTGATGCTATTTACATTTCTCAAGGTAGGTCATGCACTCGACAGTAATTCGTTCCAGTATATAACTACGCAATGCATTATATTTCTTATGTAACAATAATAAACCATAATTTATAGTCAGTAAAAAACTAGTTAGTCAAGATATCGTTCGTTTTATATCAAATCTTATGATCTAACATTCATGAAGGATAAAAGAAAATGTTTCATTTACAAAAGATGAATGATATAAGCGATATATGTACTAAGTCATTAAAAAGAAAAAAATGAAATGAACAAAATAGAAGTTAGGAAAGGCCTAATATTAATAATCTTAGTATTGCGAAATTTAAAAAAAAAAAAAAGGAATATCTGTTTATATTTAGAGAGTCTTATATCTTTTTAGGCTAGATTCTCTTAATGCATCGTTTTATTAAATTCCGGGCCAATAAAAATACTTTTTCAGCTGATTTCTGTGACATTCATGAATATTATTGAAAAGAATACGAGATATTTTAAAATAATTAAAATAAATAAAATAGAGAGATATGTTAAATGTAGCCGTGAATGTATATCCTGTGCCTAAAAATATCTTTATATTAATTTTTATATTTATATTCCAATTTTTCAAGCTGCACGCCAAAAAGCGGTTTTAAGAAATATTTTAGAATTTTTAATATTCCAGACTTTATGTTCTTCTTCACTATTTATATTTATTCTTTCAGTAAAATGCAATAAAATGTATTTATCCTGTTTTTCTGGAATATTTATTTTAATTCTCTTTTAAAATCAAATTTTTTGAAAAGTTATACGAATTTACGAAAAACATCCGGAATCGGTTCAGTGTATTGTAAAGTATATACACGGAGACAATTTTTTCTTATTAGAGTTTACCCTGAAAATATGATAATCGTAGTACAACACTATTTCGAAGAATTTTAATGTAAATCTCTCTCATTCATTAATAAAACTACAATAAAGTATAAAATAAGTTTGATTAATTTTACTGAAATGCATGGTAAAAATCTTTAAAATATTATATTGTACCACAGCTACCATATTTTCAGGGTAAATTTTAAAAGAAAATTCTTTCCGTGTGTGTGTACTGTTAAGCTCATTCTATAATTGCGTAAGCGTAGTTGTAAGAATTGACTAATTACAGTCAAATATTTACCTCATATTTGACTGTGATTAGTTAATTCTTACAACTACAACCACTTACAACTACGTTTACGCAATTATAGAATGGGCTTTAAACTAAAACATCTAAAAACAATATGATATATATGCCGCTTTATGAAAAAAGTGAATTAACTTGTTAATATTAACGCTATATATGGTTACAAAAATTCTTGAAGTGCGTGTAGGGTAAAATCAGGGATTATGGCATAGGCTACTAATATGGAATAGTGGCTTATTTTTTAAACAAAGCATTGCAATCTGGCGGCAATCGCTGAAAGTTATTGCACTTGTTACCAAACATGTCATAACAAGCAATGAACTCAGTCCGACCAACCGTTTTGCTATAATTAACATTTATTCATTTTCGTTACGTCAGAAGATCCGGCAGCTTTTTCTAAAAAGTGTTCTCACAAACTGAAGATAAGTTTTTTTAGTGCTTATATTGCACAGACGCTTTTAGTAATGTTGCATGAACAACGCTATGCAGATTAATTGCTATTTCAAACTTGTTTATTGCTACGGAAAGACTTTATTTGTCATATGACGACATGCAGGTAATGTCGTCGAGGGTTGTGAGAATATGGAATAGATTCCATGCATGTTATTCGTGATCAGATTAGGTTAAGTTAGATCACAGCTGTATTCTATATCAGCTTATTTGCGATTTATCACCTTATTTGCGATTTTTTATTTGTCCATGCGTAATAACGTTCGTAATGATGCTATTATATATTTTCTGTGTTATTGTACAATCAAAATTGAACAGTTTTCTATTTTTCTTGATCAGTTTATATAAATAAACAAATTTGGACTTCATTTATTGTGTTATTTATTACTATGGTCAAAATTTCATCGGTATTCCATATTACATCCCATTTTTTAGACCCCCCCCCCCCATTTTCTCACTTTTGACTTTTTTGTTAATATTGACTTTCGACTTAAATTTTAACGACTTTCATTTATTGGACGTTGTAGCTAACATATTTCTCAAGAGTTCTGTGTAAATTTAAAGTCTTTATATGCATTTATATCGGAGCAATGTTAATTTGAAAAAAGCTATTCGATAATCCCTGCTTTTATCCTATGTGTATGCGTGTGTGTGTGTGTATATATATAAAATCCTACATTTCATGAATTTTTGTGTTACCATGAATCAAGTCGGTTCAAAAGACGCATCATAGTTGACTATGATGCGTTTACGAAGATAATGATATCACTAAGAGAGAATTCGATTTCAAATGGTCTGCTAAATTTGATATATTTTTTTGGATGTAATAAAATAATTGAATAGCAAATGTTGAAGAATATTAATGAACCTTTCGAGAATACGAATGCCTTTCTCTCTCAATGCTGAATCTGAAGTTGTATATGTCTTGGTCTTTCATGAGTTGGACGAAGTTTATATACAAGGACGACAAGTTTGATGTTTGTCTCCTTTGGCGTTTGAGTCAATGTTACAATATATTTAATCTGTAGCTAATCTAATAGCTTTCCTTATTAAATTATCTGTAGTTTAATAACTGTTATTGGTTAAATGCCAAATTCAATATTACAATCGACCGCGGTAGATGAAATATAAAAAGAAAAAAGTGCATGCAAGTTTATTACAGCAGTTTGAAATTAATGAAACTAATCTATGTTATAAAATAAAACATATACATTTCTTCTATATAAATACAGTGATTAAAATTGCTGTCAATATATCTCTATAATATATGTCCGAGATAATCAAATAATCTCACTAAGAGTAATCTCTTTTCGTTTTCTAACTAATTTTCCACTACTATAGATGTATCGACATTATAGATCTACATTTGCCATTTATAACTGAAATAAAAAATGAGCTACTTACCATACAATAAAGACGTCTTTCATCAAGGTCTTCTTATATTCCGATAAGTTTCCGTGTTTCGTCAACAATTAATAATCTCTGTGAACGTGAACTGAAGAAAACTTTCACAATTCTTTTGGCACCCAGCCAAACACTCGGACAATAGGCAA